ATACTATGATGCAGGGAAATGGCTGTCCCGGCCGGAAGTCGACCCCACGCCGCCTTCTTTATTAAACAGTAATGGTATATTATTCAAGAAGTAATCGCTTGCCTTGACAGCAGCTTCCTGAACACGCAGCTCCCTCAGTGCCACTATATCCTCGTGTTCCTTCGTGGCGGACGACTCCATCGACAACTGTAACCGGCCTATCAAATTAATCCTTCCTCGATGTTGTTCTTTGCCATTCTGAAAACAAGTTCATATGTGGAGAGTTTTCTTTCCAACAATCACCAACGCTGAATTATACCTTAATTAATCGGAAATCGTGGTTGATGTAGAATAAAGTTGAGTCCGTGAAATCACGTGGATTCAAAGGGGTTGGGGCGTCGCATAGCAGGAGTTGGTACTTCATTTTTGGGTAACGCAACCAAAGACTGAAAATGGACCAAGTAAGCATAGCTGTTGAGCCTACTGAGCTTTGAGAAGTAGACTGTTCATCAAAGTTTCAACAGGGTCTTCAAAACAAGCTATACAAAATCAACACGAAACTGAAAGACTGAAGCGCCTGTGTCATATGAAAAATCGTCAGTGAACAGAGATAAATTGGAAACGCTAAGAGGAAAAAAAAAAGAACCACAAAACGTACGAAGAGTGTTCTGGCCAACTCCGTGTCAGGTAGCTCGGTTGCCAAGTCGAAGTGATTCAAAAGAAATCTTTTCATGAGCACGATCGTTCCATGAAAACAAAACGGCCATTTGGAACGTTGTCAACTCCAAGTCGAATCGCCCACCAGACGCCGTGCCAAAAATTATCTATAATACGATGTTAACAGCTAGAAAGAGAGAGGTGAATTACTCGCAAAGCAGATCCAGTAATCGACTCAGCTAACAATCTACACCCTCATCCCATCAGGAGTAGAAGCGCCACTACCGTTCACACGTTCACACTACTGTTCGAGCAAATGTTGATCTATTTCTTTCCGTCATGAGTGAAAAGGGAAACACAGTAATGAACATGAAGCGGCATTCTCGGTCAAAAAGACTATATTCCAACACTAAATCCACAATGATGTACTGGCTCTTTCTTGTTTCTACAGAGCCTAAATTTGCACTCCTCTGTTGTTCTTTGAGATGCGATATCAGAAGCAAGCTCAATTCGAATCGCCTGAATCGAAAGAAGCTATTAAATGGAAGTGAACAATCGAGGACGGGATGTTTCCCAAAGAGTGGGCTGTCTACGACGATAAACTGGAGAGAATGTAGCCGCGCTAGATGTTCCTGGTAAGGATCAACGAAAATGAAGTTGATGAGACAGTTCACTGCTCAATGTGCATCCAATTACTTTTGCCATGTGATGTTTGTTTATAGAATGTTCACCTGAAAGGACCTGTGTATTCCGTTTTTATGAATTGCTTTCGAGTGAACAGTGATCAACAAGTTGAACTAAGACTGAACGCATAAGAAACAAAAAAACATGAACGACAAGAGCAAATTAATGGAGCAAATCGTTAGGCTGGTGTCAGAGTCCGCGATCCGTCGCAGGTTTCGCTGATTTTCGCGATTCACGCGACGGGTCACGGAAATCACAAGTGCCCGATCAATACTGCAAGGTGTTCTCCAATCCTGCCGCCACTTCTGCTTGATAGTGATGGCTGAATGACGACTGCTCATGATTCCACTTGTTTCATATTCAGTGTTTCAAATGTTCACACACTTGCAATTTTTGCGATCCGTCGCAGGTTTCGCAAATCGCGAAAATCGCGCAAATCGCGAAAATCAGCGAAACCTGCGACGGATCGCGGACTCTGACACCAGCCTTAGAGACACTACATCAAACTACAAAGGTTGGTATGTCACTGACATTACTGCATATTTAGCATTAAAAAAAGCGGAAAACAGAGCGAAGCGGCGGACAAGTTTTTTCCTATTTTCTACACGGGGCAGCTTGAGCGTCTGAAAAGCACGAACTATGCAAGAAAGAATGAATGAGCCCACCTCCGGCACAAATTCTTCCAGTTCCCTTGGCAATGACACACGTACCCGTTCCGCTCCTACACCACCACGTCCCCAAGCACCACCGTTCAGAATCTTTATGTTTATAAGATCTGAAAAAACACAGTACTGACAAAATCTTGAAAGTAAGCATTTGAAATACCATACAAATGTTACATTTCAAATAGAACTCTGAAAAAAATTAGCGGTACCTGATAAAGCTCGATTGTTGTTCGTTCCAACTAGTGACTTCTTGAAGTTTGAATTGAGATCCTTATTAACTTCGATATCTTGCAACATTCGAAAAAGTTTGTTTACATGTTCAGCAGGCATGCCGCATTCCTGAATACTATTATTGAGGGAGAAATAGGTTCACAATTTGTCCAGGCACAATACGAACATGTACCCACGAGCATTATAACAAATTGACTTACAAATATTATATTTCACGAAGAAATGGAAACAAATGCAATAACGAATAAGAATCAT